CCGGGAAGGCGACACCGCGGGGTGCGCAGGGGTGGGTTGGGCCCCAGGTGTCCGGGCCCTGCCAGGGCCAGTTGCGCCCTCCCCGGGGATACCCGCAGTCTGGGGGTCCTGAGCTCAGGACCCTGGAAGAACAGGGACCACAAATAAGGACAGGGACAGGCCCGGAGCGGTGGCTTACGCCTGTAATCCCAGCACTTTGGGAGGCCGAGGCTGGCAGATGACCTGAAGTCAGGAGTTCAAGACGAGCCTGAGCAACATGGTGAAACCCCGTCTCTACCAAAAATACAAAAATCAGCCGGAGGCCGTGGCACACGCCTGTAATCCCAGCTACTCGGGAGGCTGAGATCACTTGAACCCGGGAGGCGGAGGTTGCAGTAAGCCGAGATGGTGCCATTGCACTCCAGCCTGGGCAACAAAGCCAGACTCCATCTCAAAAAGAAAAAAAAAAAAGGACAGGGATGGCTGAGGGTGCTGGGGCACTTACTCTCTGCTAGGCGAGGTCATTGTTTTATTTTATTTTATTATTTTTAATGTTATTATTATTATTTTTTTGAGCCGGTGTCTCACTCTGTCACCCAGTTTGGAGTTCAGTGGCACGATCTCAGCTCACTGCAACCTCTGCCCACCAAGTTCAAGCAATTCTAATGCCTTGGCCTCCCCAGTAGCTGGGATTACAGGCATACACCACCACGCCCAGCTAATTTTTTTTTTTTTTTTTTTTTAATAGAGATGAGGTTTAAAACCATGTTGGCCAGGCTGGTCTTGAACTCCTGACCTCAAGGGATCCTCCCACCTCAGCCTCCTAAAGTGTTGGGATTACAGGCATAAACCTCGGCGCCCAGCTGCTGTTTTATTTCATCTGGCGTCCTGTTTGTCTCCAGGACTGGAGGAATGTCAGCTCCAGGAGGGCGGGGGCTGTTCCCCTGCTCTGTCCCCATGCCCAGTGCCCAGGGCACAGTGCCTGGCATACAGCGGGTACTCGGTGATCTTTGGTGAGGAGTGAATGGATGTCCAGGTCACAGATGAGGGAGGAGATCCCAGGCACCAGGAGGCATTGGTAAAAATCCACTGGAATGCAATGCCGGAAACACCTATGTATCCATCAGATTCCTACCCAGGAATGTTGGCTCAATAAACAGCCATCCTGCCTGCAGTGGCGGGCCCTACAGCAGAGCCAGACACAGCCTCCGCCTGGGAGGAGCCTCACAAACTGAACATGGGGAGAGAAAAGAAAGTAGCAGGAGGGTTTGGATGAGGTAAGAAAGTTATGGAAGGCCTGGCGTGGTGACTCACGCCTGTAATCCAGCACTTTGGGAGGCTGAGGCATGCGATTGCTTATCAGGAGTTCGAGACTAGCCTGGACAACATGGTGAAACCCCATCTCTACTCGGGAGGCTGAAGCAGAATTGCTTGAATCTGGGAGGTGGAGGTTGCAGTGAGCCAAGATTGCACCACTGCGCTCCAGCCTGGGACAGACAGCACGACTCTGTCTCGAAAAAAAAAAAAAAGAGACAGAGAGAGAGAGAGAGAGAGAGACAGAGAGAGGGATTCACCTGCCTCAGCCTCCCAAGTAACTGGAATTACAGGCATGTGCCACCATACCCACCTATTTTCGTATTTTTAGTAGAGACCAGGTTTCACTGTGTTGGCCAGGCTGGTCTAGAAACTCCCAGTCTCAAGTGATCTGCCTGCCTTGGCCTCTGAAAGTGCTGGAATTATAGGCATGAGCCACTGTGCCCAGCCCACACAACTTCTTGAATGTACCAAAACCTACTGAATTGTATGCTGAAAATTTTTTTTTTAAATAAAAAAACTGATGCAAAATGGTATTTTCCAGGCCTGCCTAGAAATGAGAAACTCTAAATTTGAGGTGGTGGTACCTGTGCCAGGAAAGGGTGAAACTGGGGTGGAGAGTGAGGGGGGTTGGCAGTATCGGGTTGTGTGAGTCTCCCATGGCAGCCGTAACAAAGCACCACACACTGTGGGGTGAGGTGGCTCTTGCTTGCGATCCCAGCACTTTGGGGTCCACTTTGGGAGGATCCACTTTGGGAGCCCAGGAGTTTGAGACCAGCCTGAGGAACCAGGTGAGACCCCATCTCTACAAAAAATACAAAATTAGCTGGGTGTGGTGGCATGCACCTGTAGTCCCAGCTACTTGGGATGCTGAGGTGGGAAGATGGCTTGAACCCAGGAGGTGCAGGCTGCCGTGAGCTGTGATGGCATCTCTGCACTCCAGCCTGGGTGGCAGACCAAGATCCTGTCTCAACCACAAAGAAACAGCTGGGCGCAGTAGCTTATGCCTGTAATCCTAGCACTTTGAGAGCCTGATTGCTTGAACCCAGTAGTTCAAGACCCCCATCTCACAAATAGGAACAAATTGGCCAGGCACAGTGGCTCACGCCTGTAATTCTAGCACCTTGAGGGGCCAAGGCGGGTGGATCACCTGAGGTCAGGAGTTTGAGATCAGCCTGGGCAACATGGTGAAACCCTGTCTCTACTCAAAATACAAAAATCAGCTGGGCGTGATGGTGAGTGCCTGTAATCCCAGCTACTCAGGAGGCTGAGATGGGAGAATCGCTTGAACCTGGGAGGTGGAGGTTGCAGTAAGCTGAGATCAAGCCATTGCACTCCAGCCTGGGGCTATAATAGAGTGAGACTCTGTCTAAAAAAAAAAAAATTAGGCAAGAGTGATGGCAGGCACCTGTGGTCCCAGCTACTCACGAGAACCAGGTGGGAGGATCACCTGAGCCCAGGGAGGTCGACGCTGCAGTGAGCTATGATTGTGACACTGCACTCCAGCCTAGGCAATATAGTGGGACCCTGTCTCAAAGAAAAAAGCTGTTGGGCATGGTGGCTCACGCCTGTAATCCCAGCACTTTGGGAGGCTGGGGCAGGTGGATCACCTGAGGTCAGGAGTTCAAGACCATCCTGGCCAACATGGTGAAACCACATCTCTACTAAAATACAAAAACTTAGCCGGACATGGTGGCAGGCACCTGTAATCCCAGCTACTCAGGAGGCTGGGGCAGGAGAATCGCTTGAACCTGGATGGTGGAGGTTGCAGTGAGCTGAGATCGTGCCATTGCACTCCAGCCTGGGTGACATGAGCGAAACTCTGTCTGGAAAAAAAAAAAAGCAACAGCAGCAGTGTGGGATGGGGGTGGGCACCATGGCTTACAACTGTAATCCCAGCACTTTGGGAGGCTAAGGCAGGAGGACACTTGAGCCAGGAGTTCAAGATCAGCCTGGGCAACATAGTGAGACCCCCTCCACCCTCCACCCCTAAAAAATAAAAAATAAACAAAAAGCACCACAAATGGGGAGACATAAAACAGCAGAAACTGATCCTCTCACAACTCCAGAGGCCAGAATTCCACAAGGAAGGTCCTGGCAGGGCCCTCAGAGTCCCCGGGCAGAATCTTGCCTGACGTCCACAGCTTCCGGCTGTGGGTGGCCTTCCTTGACGTTCCTTGGCTTCTAGATGTATAACTCCAGTCTTGGCCTCTGTTGTCACTTGGCTGTCTCTTCTCTGTGTCTGTGTCCAAATTTTATCTTCTTAAAAGGAGAACGGTCATGTTGGACTTAGGACCCACGCTACTCCAGTAATGACTTCATCTTAACTAATTATATCTGCAGTGACCCTATTTCCAAATAAGGTCACATTCAGAGGTTCTGGGGTTCAGATTATTCTCCGATTTTTTTTTTTTTTTTTTTTTGAGACGGAGTCTCGCTGTGTCGCCCAGGCTGGAGTGCCGTGGCGCAATCTTGGCTCGCTGCAAGCTCTGCCTCCCGGGTTCACCCCATTCTCCTGCCTCAGCCTCCCGAGTAGCTGGGACTACAGGCGCCCGCCACCTCGCCCCACTAGTTTTTTTTGTATTTTTTAGTAGAGACGGGGTTTCACCGTGTTAGCCAGGATGGTCTCGATCTCCTGACCTCGTGATCCACCCATCTCGGCCTCCCAAAGTGCTGGGATTACAGGCTTGAGCCACCGCGCCCGGCCATTTTTTGTATTTTTTTAAGTAGAGATGGGGTTTCACCTTGTTAGCCAGGATGGGTTTTCTCCAAATTTTTTAGGATGTCTTATGTATGCCATTAAATGCAAAAGTCTCTGGAAAGGTTTGTCAATAAGCAACACACACACATATACACGTACACAAAATAAGCCAAACGCAGAACTCCCAGCAGTCTGCATCTCCAAAAGAATGGAAAATGGTCGTTCCAGCAAAAACATGTGCATGAAGGTTCACAGCAGCAGCACTCACAAGTAAATGGTAGAAACAGCCAGGAGTCCTTTGACAGACAGATGGGTCCATACAGCGGACTCATTCACACGCTGGACCATGACAGCCACCGAAAGGAATGAGGCTCTGACACAGGCCACAGCGTGGATGACCTTTGAGGACAATCACACTCAGTGAGAGAAGCCAGATACAAAAGGACACACAGTCCGGGCATGGTGGCTCATACCTGTAATCCCAGCACTTTAGGAGGTCGAGGCAGGCAGATCACCTGAGGTCAGGAGTTCGAGACCAGCCTGGCTAACACGGTGAAACCCTGTCTCTACTAAAAATACAAAAAATTAGCTGGGTGTGGTGGCGGGCGCCTGTAGTCCCAGCTACCTGGGAGGCTTGAGGCAGGAGAATCGTTTGAGCCGGGGAGGGGGAGGTTGCAGTGAGCCGAGATCGCACCACTGCAACTCCAGCCTGGTGACAGAGCGAGACTCCGACTGAAAAAAAAAGGTCAGGCTGTGTGCGGTCTCATATCCAGGACAGGTCAATCCACAGAGGTAGGAAGGGGATTTGCGGGTGCCAAGAGCTGGGGAGGGGATGAGAGTGACTGTTGATGAGGACGGGACTTCCTTTGGGGGTGATTAGAATGTGCTGACATTAGATAAAGGTGATGATTGCACAAAATTGTGAATGTACTAAATGCCTGAATTGTGCATTTTAAAATGGCTAAAATGGCCAGACGTGGTGGCTCACGCCTGTATCCTGGGGCTTTGGGGGGCTGAGGCAGGAGGACCGCTTGAGCCCAGGAATTCAAGGCTGCAGTGAGCTATGATTGGGCCACTGCACTCCAGCCTTGCTGGCAGAGCGAGATCGTGTCTCTAATAAATAAACAAAATGGCTATAATGGTAAGGTTTATGTTGTGTATTTTACACAATAAACAAAACCGTGGCCCACCCAAAGTCAGCGTGCTACAAAGTGGACTTGAACCCCCGTGCGGACACAAGTTGAAGGATGAACTGAGCAGCCGTGACTGTCCCCTGTGCTTCAAGTCCCCGATGTGTGCTGAGCCCACAGTACACAACTTCAGGTGGGGAGGGATGGAGACGCCTGCCCTGCCATTGACTTGCTCTTCGAACCCGGGCAAGTTTGGGCTCCTGTCTCCCTATCCGAGAAACTCCGAGGCTCTGCTAGAGGTAAGAGAGCAGGCCTGGCGCCCCCAGCAGGGATGTCATGGGGGCTCAGGCTGCACCTTCTGAACCCTCCACATCACCCCAAAAAACCTTACACACTCACAAGCTTAAAACACAAATTTTACTTGTTTTTATTTAAAAAGTCCGGATCCAGCAGTGGGAAGGGACCACCCCCACCAGGGTCCCTTGGCCGGAGGAGGGCAGGATGGGCAAGGCCGGCCCCCACTCATCTGGGGTACAGGCATGCGGGGGACACCCCCGGTAAGTCCCCACAAGGTAGCTCTGTGTGGCCTATGGCACAGACCCCCTATAGTGAGTAATTTGGGGGGTCCTGCTGTGTGCTAGGGGTGGCTTTCGTCTGCCCTGAGTCCCGGGGGTGGCCCAGAGAGCCAGTGGAGAGCCAGTATAGCGTGTGGCTGTCCTCCGAGGAGGGGCACCTGCGGCTGTGCGGTTCTTCTGGGTGTAGCGCGCATCGAGTGCTTTTTCTGGGTTCAGGGGTCTGGGGAGACTCAAAGCTAAAGGGATGCTGCAGAAATTTAATTTTAGGGGGGCTGGAGCCCCCAAGGTGCAAGACGGGACCAGACCCCAAAGGGTGGACCCCCAGCCTCTCGTCCACGGGGTGGGGTGGGGCAGGGCCGCGCCCACAGCTTCTCCTCTGCATCGTGGGCCCGCCCACTCCTCACAGGTGCTCGCTGAAACGAGAGAGCGGAGGGCCTGGGATGAGACCCTCATCATCTCTGGCCCCCACCCCGGCCCTGGGGAACCCCAGGGGCCATGGCCCATCAGCTGCTCCAACAGATACCAGGGTTGGGGTATAGGCGTTGAACCCATCTAACCCGGTCACTGGGATCCACCCTGAGAACTTTTGGGGAAGTTCTGGTGCCCCCGAGTGGGTCCTGCCGGCTCGGGGGGTCTGGCAGAACATCCCCGGCCATCCCAGCACTGGTGCATGGGGCGACCGCAGGTCGATCCCCCGGGAGGTGGTCTCCTAGTAAGATCATGCTGTGGAGCCCCACCCGGCAGCCCCCGCGGAGCTGGGGAACCGCAGGGCGGACACACCTGGGGCCAGAATCCCGGCCCCGCCCCGCCTCGCCCGGCACACACCTGGCGACCTGGGCCAGGATTTCCTTGATGCGGACGATGAGCTTCTCGTGCTGCGCAGGGTCGCGCTCGATGGCTCCGTGCAGCCGGGCCATGTAGAAGTCCAGAGTGCCCAGCGTGGGCGTTTCGCCCGTGCCTGGGGGACAGGTGAGTGGGTGAGGCAAGGGTGCCGGGGAGTCGCGGGCGAGGGCTCCAGGGGCAGAGGTAGGGGGTGACTCAGGGCGGGTTGCGCGGGCGCTCGGAGCTCAGGACCGGGCCAGCGCAGGAGGGGCGCAGCGTGGGCTAAGGTCAGCCGGGCCTGGAGGATGGCGGGGACAGGGGCAGGGTGGGGAGGCGGGCGTCCAGGGTCGCTGAGGACAGTCACGGATGGAGGGAACGGGGTCGGGGAGGTGGGGATGACACTGGGGCGCTGGGGTCGCGTGGGACGGGGTGCTCAGTGGTCAGCAGGGCGTGGGGAGGGATGGGTGATGGGGGCGTGGGGAGGTGGGGATGTGGCGTGGCGAGGCGAGCAGGGAGGCCGGGTCGGTGCTCAGGCTGGTCGGGGGCTGGCGAGTGAGACGGGCTAGCGAGGGTGGGGCCGGTAGGGAGCGGTGCCCGGAACCTCCGAGGTAGGGACACAAAGGGGCTGCGGGAGGAGGGGATCAGGTGCTCGCGGGAGTCGGCGATTCAGCGGGGACAGGTCGGGAGAGGTCGTGGCAGGGAGACGCGGTCGGTGTGGGCGAGGCCGGGGACAGGGCCGAGTAATG